GAATTAGTGATGGGGTAACAGTAATTTACATTTACTGATCATAGCTTACCCCTAACTTTATAGTCTCTTCCCTCTAGTTTTAAAAAGGATATTTGGCAATGCCTTATGTTACACGTAACACGCATAGAGGGCATTTCTGTCCTGTTTTCCTGTATTTATTGTTGTATACAAATACTTAGGGCCTAATTTTGTCATATTTGAGCCCAGATGCAGTCCCAGAGAGGTCAAGTAACTTGGTCCTTGAAGGAGCAAAACTTTGGGGCAACATTTATTTAATCCACTCAGCTCTTAGTTCTTGAACCTTCTCTTTACTGCTTACTCAGGGTTGTTAGTTTTTTGTTTTTTTTTTCCCACATAATTTCATGAGAAATCACATCTTTCTATTTTCTTTAACACTTATATCAGCTGTTTCCACTTCCAACATGCCATTGGAGTCATGTAATTGTAATCCTTTTTTTTTTTTTTTTTTAATTTTCTCCAAGGCTTTGGTGCAGTAATGACTTACCTGCTTTTGGTGTCTACCCTCTTTTTAGTTTGTCTCCTTTAATTTTTATGGTAGAGGGAATATATGTATCAGTCTGTTTTGCTGTGATCCAGTTTTCTCTGCTAGACTGACTTGAGAGTTTCTTTACCGTTCTCCTAAACTGAAGTGCTTTTTACAAATTAATTTATTGCTTAGGAACCTTCTTTTTTGTTTAGGATGGTTGAGGTGAAAGATTGAGTATGGGGTCTTAAAATCAGACCTAGACACATGTAGATTCTTAGATCTTTGAAAATTTCCCATGACTGTTTCAGCGCTTATTAATAAGAGGCATTTTGGTATGGTAGAAAATACGAGCTTTGGTGTGGGACCAGAGTTCACAAGCTGTGACCTTAGTCCAGGCGGGTTCATCTCTCTGAATTTGCTCTCCCCAGCGATGAAATGGAAATCACACTGCCTGCTTACAGGGTTGTTAGGAGAGTAAATGTGTCGGCTTCTCTCAAATATCTCAGTAGAGTAGTTGGTGCATAGTAAGTGTTCGGCAAATGTTCTTTTCCCTGCAGTTTTACTCAGAATTTCCTTTCATATCCCATTCTGAAGTCTTGTGCTTTTAAAATTTTTTTTTCCTTTTTAATTTTTTTTACAGCTAGGACTATTTCTAGGGGTTTTGGAGGAGTCCTAAATCATCTTGGTTTTAAGAATTTCACTTGAAATCTCTAGTTAGTGAAAATGCCTTTTCTCTGTATGCCATTTGATCATCTTAGTGGGAATTAGCGTTAATAGAGGTTTTTTTTTCCTTGTTAGGTATAAAACCATAGTTTTTTCTATTTCTTTTTTGCTTTGACTTCTTTGGCTGTTGTAATTATAGAAAGTCTGTTTCTAAAATTGTTCTGTGGAAAAAGAGGACACTTCTGTTACTTCCTTAATGTTAGTGTAAATGAATAAAAGTTTATAAGGAAAGCCAGTCACAGTATAATTTTTAGATAATCATGTTGTAATTTTAATGCATGGAATCAAGTTGTAGATCTATCAGTTTAGTTTTCCCTGATTTCATTTTTGTAGCTTATTCTTTTTGGGAGTGGGTAGCTTATTCTTAAATTGGCATCTTCTAAACTATCTGATTGTCCCTTTAAATACTATTGTGCGTTAAATTTTTTTTAATGTGGATTAAATTTTTAAATCTTGAAATATACATGCAAGACTATACAAAACCTGTAAAATTAAAAGAGTGAAAAACAGCTGTGTGCTTCGCCAGTTTAAGAAATAGAACAGTACCTATAAGTATTACTGAAGCCTGTTATCATACTGATTATTTTTACCTGCTGCTACTTACCTACTAATTTAGTTATTTTGAAGCTTCATATAATTTCTAGTTTTATGTCATTATAAAACATTGTGACATGAGAGAAAACGTCACAGCTACCATTTAGTTCATTAACTCCTGAGTTAATCTGGATTTGCCATATCATGCTAACGCATTCATTTCTATCACTGTTTTGCCAGTCTTCATCTTTGAGGATTAGCATTAATTATATAAATCTCGGTCCATCACTGCTTTTAATTAGTTGTCTCCGTGTTCTCCCCCTCTCTCCTTCACCGGCGCGCCCCCCCCCCCCCCCACGTAGAGACAGGTGCCAGGAGACTGAATCTGATACCTATGGGGGAATTCCAGGTGTTTAAACTCAGCCTGTTGAAATTTTCTCCCTGCTGCTGTAGGTTGTTACTACTGTTATGCACTGATTTTCAGACAACTAAAAAATGCTTTGTAGGTTTAGCTTTAAAAACCAGTTAAGCTCAGTTTATAGATTGTTTGTAGACTGTTATATTGCCTTTGGCAAAATGTGAGCTAAAGCATACAGCAAAAGATTTAGAGGATTATAGGAGGTTCCTGTGGTAAGGATAGTAGATGCTTTTCATTAGCATCTAATTTAGCTCTGTAATTGTGAATGACTCCATTTGTGGGGGGAAAGGTTAAAAATTCACTGTAGATTTTTCTCAGAAAAATTTAGAATATGATGGATTTTTAGTCTTCTTTAGAAAGAAAATTGTATTTATAGTTTGCAAAGTACATTTGGTGTTTGCTGTTACCTGCTTATTGTCATAAAACACTGACCTGATATAAACATATTTTTTTTTTGAAAAGTGAGCAGCCTAAAGGATATATGGAATTATCACTAGAATCTTAATTTAAAGCAGCCCAAGGTCAAGACTTAAGGAGTTTTAGCGTTGCTCAGTAGATGATGGTTTAGTTGCTGCATATGTCAACAGCAAGTTTTGTAACTTGTAGCTTTGCTTTACCCTTTGCTAAAGGCTACTTTTCAGATGAGTAGTGAGGAATGGTTGACTTTTCTAAAAGATGTCCTTTTTAGGTTCAGACAGTCTTGATGTATGCTTCTTCTGACCCTCAGTCACATGTACTCTCCTTTGTGCCACCGGCCCACTTATATTCTTACCTTTAGATATTTTGTACAGTAAGGATAATCTGCTAATTTCTAACTGCTTTTAATAGGATAAAAAATGCTAATGGTTTATCTGATTCTGCTTTTTTCTTATGAAGTCCTTTGGTATCAGCAGTATCTATGCTGTTGAAACCATTCAAGTTGGCAAAGTGTAGATAGATAGCATTGTAAGTAACATTTTATAGGTGAAGAATGGGATGTTGAGAACCTAAAAGATTTGATAATATATAATTCATAGCTAGAGATTTAATTCACATTTTCTGTCCCCATGGTCCATGCTAGAATGGTAAAGATGATTTATGGGAGAAAAATGGTTAGAAAACTATGTCTTTGAAGTAAAAATCATTACTCCTGAGAGTTCAAATACACTTACTCTTTGGAATTAAAACTTTTTTGATGCAGTACTTTAGTGTTCATTCATCTACCCATCTGTCCACACAACCCCCAGAATGGGTATCAGTTGGTCCCACGTCTGAGGTTTTACCATAGCATCTAAACTGGAAGCATGCTTCTTAGGAATGGGATCTGGAATATAGGTAATGCTTTTAGACACAGGCAGTTCCTAAGTTACAGATAATTCATACATTTACATCCTTGTCCCCGAGCTGCACTTCCAGTTACAGCTCTTTGGAGTACAAACGTCCAGCTTTTAAAGAAGCTGGGAGTGCACAAATGGAGAAATGAATGAAGAGCAGAAATATTTGGGGGCAATAAATACACATTTGAATCTGTATTATGACCATTTCCTAAAAATGTTTTTCTTCAAGCTACCTTGGTCATTGTAAACTTTACAATGTGATTAGAATTCTACCAGTTAGGAGTTCATTTGGACTAACTAGTAGCATCCTTATTGAGAAGTGCAGACATGAAAGTAAATTATTTCAGTCCACTTGACTTCTTTCTATCACATACCTGAAGTGAGGTAATAGGAGTTTTTTATGGTAATTTAGGAACACAGGACTACTTAGGAGAAAGGATTACAAAGCTGGATGATTGGGATTCCCTAAGATAAAATTTAGGGAATTAGAGACATCAGGAGTTGAGTACTAACAAAGGAAAACAACCTATTTTAGTCTTTGAGCAAATAGAGCAAATCTTTAAAGGCATGTGGAGTAGGTGTTAGTAGTGTATCTAATATAAGACTGACAATTAAATTAAGGGTATTACACCTTTAATTTCTGTATTTTCAGTGGTCCCCAGTGCCCATGATCAGTAATGTCTTTTGGTATCAGTAAGTTTCTTTTGGCTGGCTTGGGAACTTGGCCAACATAAGCAACATTGTTTCATTAATAATATTTATTGAATTCCATAGTATCAATATAAAAAGGACATTTTTAGACTGAATATAAATAAGTTGGGTTGTAGCCTGTGCTTGTCCTAGTCTCTTATCATTTACTTTCAGTTGATAACAACATTCAGGTGGTTTTTGTTTTCCCATCAGTCATTATAAATTTTGCTGGTCATTTGTGAAATACCAGTGGAAGCAGTAAGTAGGAAATACAGTGAAAGGCTTACAGTAAAGTAGGAGAAGCCACTTGCAGAGCAAAAGAGGGCTTGTGGGCTTAGGGGAGCAGTTATGAGCAGTGTCTTAGAACTTAATTTACAAATAACATTGGCAGATTGATATGTTATCCTTCTTGTAAAGCAGCTTGCATTACCTCTGCTTACCTGATAGTAAGCCACGATGAAAAGTGACTTCATATTCATACTGATTTGTGAATTGGTGGATATTAGAAAAGGTAAATTTTTCCCAGATACATTATATAGAATAGTGGAATATTGCCCCCTTAGTTCATACCTAGAAATGCCTGAAGTTTCGTTGGTAGTAGGCAGTTTTTGAAACTTTTTCTTCCTGACAGTTGACTACTTTACATTTTATATATATAATTGATTGTCATTAATGGAAATTATTTTCAAGTAAGCATGAATAAATGTTAGTAAACAAATTTGCAGATAATTTTATCTCTGTTTTGGGGATTGTAGTTGCATTAGATGTTCCTCAATAGGGGTAATTGTCTTGCATCCTTATCTCTTATCATAATCTGTTTTTCTTCACACAGTGTTATAGTTTTGCTGCTGGACTCTTCCCTCCCTCCCCCCACCCCATCAGGATGATATGAGACTTGAAAGAAGACGATGCATACAGGTGACTCAAGTTTTGAAATACAGTAAAGCTGTGGCTGTCTGAGCGAATGTGGGAACTGGTGCTATATTTTGAATGCGGGAGCTTTCTGATAAACAGCATTAGTGGGGGGAATTATATTTAGATCAATAAATACAAAGTTAGTTGGGATATTTAATAAATGACTTTGGGAATCCGTTTGATAATTAGTGACTTACAGTGTGGTATTAATACAAGTACAGCACAGTGATTGTTAGGATTGCTGGTCTTGACCTTTTTGAAAGTGGTTGGTTGGCTAATACTTTCGTGAGAATTGAAGCGTTTCTGTTTAAAATAAAAAATAAAAATTCACTAATATTCACCTTTATGGTTGAATGTGTGTGTCCTTCAGATCCCCATTAAAATAGAGCAAATCTTTTAAAGGCATGTGGAGTAGGTGTTAGTAGTGTATCTAATATAAGACTGACAAATTAAGGGTATTACACCCATGTGTATGATTCCTTGGAATAATATGGCCTGGGATTTTGTTTTTTCTTCCCTTGTTCCCTCCTTCATCCTTTCCTCCATCCCCCTCTCTTTTCTTTCTTCCCTTTCTCCTTTCCTTTCATCTTTTTGTTATTTGTATTTATGCAGGAGAAGCATTATAAAGGCATTTTGGAAAGAAGTTTTTGGATTGCTTTATTATTAGTTGAGGTGATCTTAGTGATGGAAAATGGGAAATTGGAAGCTAGCTCATCTGTGACTATGTTCGGATTCTTGAAAATACAGGGTAGCTAATGGATAACGTGTTAACTTTCAAACTTGTATGTTCCGTAAATCAGGCTGATTGTGAGGTGTTTTGTTTAACCAAGTAGTCTGTATCTGCAGACTTTGTCAGGATAGTCTTAATTGGATTATATTTATAAACTGTTCGAAAATGTGGTCTTTAACTGGAAAAGAAGTAACTACATAAACCTCATATAGATATTTAATTATATTGTTGGTGTAGCTGTTAAAGTTTTTGTGACTAGTTTTTCTTTTTGGTGCTTTGTTTTCTAAAGGAAAAATTTACCTTTTTGACTTAAGAGTGGGAATTAAAAACATGTCTCCACTATTTTGAATGAAGGTATATGTTTGAGTATATTTTTAAATTAAATTATAGATCAAATAATATTTTACATTCATGAGGGATTCAAAGAATTTGATGGTAATTTCTTTTTTAAGTAAAAGGTGATTGAGTCATCCTCTGTGCTCTGTCTCTCAAATGGGCACATGTGTGTCTGCCTGTGCAAAACTAGAGCTGTGCCAGGTATGCATCCTGGCCGAGTGGCTGAGAAAGTGAACACGACACTGAGGCTGAATCGCACCGTCATAGTGAAATAAATAGAAATATTTTAGAATTTTATGAAAATTTTGTTGTCAGATTTTTAAGTTTGACCTTTTGGTGCAGGAACAATTTCTCAGCACTGTCAGCTCCCGGATTGCTCGTTGGGCACTATACTGCACATTGGCTATACCAAGTAGATGCTCACTTTCAACTGAGGTCAGTAGAGGAACAAAGTGTTTTGGGGGTTATCTCATAGATTGATCCGTGGATATTAATGATCTTGGAGATTTTCTCTAGTGAAATTTGGAGGTGGCACAGTTGCTGTTTTATTTCTACTTTAATTTTTAATGATATGAAGCATTCCTAAATAGCTCTTTTTCTGGAAAGGCCTATGGATGAAATGAAATACCTAAAGAGTGAATAACATTTATAAAGGTTACCTAGTTAATTTTATGAGTTCTAGGAGACCAAAAAAAAATTCTAAAAAGATTGGATTTATGATATAACCCAGTCTCTCTAATTTGGCCTTGTATTCTTTAAAAACTGTCAACATTTATTGGCTTATAAAGGAAAAAAAACTCAAGAAGGATTATCTAGCTTTCTCTAATATATGTATTAGCTCTTGGTGTATTTCCCTTTTAACAGTTTGCAAATTAATAATTGTTTTTGAACATAAAATTAGCAGCTGTCCTAATCATCATTAATTAATGCAGCAGTTTGCTCTTATACTACTGTGCACACAATTTATTATACTTCAACTGATAGAACTTTAACACATAAACGCTCATAAGGAGTTTTTCAGTGAGAGTTATTTCTAGAATGCTTATGCATACTTGAAAGTGAATATTCTGTTTTCCCTGGGCTTTTGTGGTACTGACTTTATGTTGGTGAGACGTGATGATACCGTCCTCTCTCATACCATTTCATCGATTAAGTGCAGGTACAGGGGTGCCAGAGAGCATGTTGAAGTAGGTATTGACTGATGATTGGTCTTTCAAAAGCAAAAGCTTTAATAATAAGATTTTTACTGAACACCAAGCCAAAGTCCAACTTTGATGCATTTCTAATACTTGTGTATATAGGTATTCTTGTACTTGTTTAATTTGTGGTGGTTTTTGCATATTTAAAAATAAGAATATAAATAAAGTTAAATTGGATTATTTTTAAATTTTTGGATGAAAAATTATTTGTGACCAAACATTTATTTGGTTAATTTGTACCAGGTACTATAATATAGGTATATATATGTAATATATATATAATACATGATATGTGTGCTCTGTTCACAAGGGTCCTCCTGCTTAGGAATCCAGGAGCACAGTTTAGTTGGAGGAGGGGGCAGACACGTAAGAAATGATTCAGTGGATATTTATGATAAGTTTTTTAAGACTTATGTATTGAATTTAAGACACCTAGAGCAAAAACATAAAATACTTTTTGGTTAATAGCATTCACAATACTGGCCTCACCTGACATCCACATGCCCTTGTTATCAGAATCTACATTTGTGTCCCACTCCTTTCTCCTGAGCTCCAGACTCTGGCTGCCTCCTGGATGTCTCTTCTGCACACACCCTTTCACTCCTGTTCATTCCTGTGAGAGATGAGTGACATTCTACCTAAGCATACCATTATCCTGGGAACCTAGTAGCATTTTTTACACCTTTGAACTAAGAGGTAACCAGATTTCATTTATTTAAAGGATGTAGAATGACTTACTTCTGAGATTGCATTTGTAAGATGCACTGCCTCAGAGATTACTGTGTACATTAACATAAAATCTCTTGTATTTTTTTCAGTTTACTTGATAAAAGGAACTCCCCACCCTTTTATTTGTTATTTGTGCTCATTAGCATCCAATGGAATGTAATTTCTGAAAAGCTGTGGGATACAGCAGTTGATGCCATTCTTTATTTTGTTGACATGGGCTTCTTTAACAATTAAAATTGTCTTTGGACATCAGTGATAAGCTAGTCACTTTAAAACTTGAAATAGTTCTAGAACATAAAGAAATACCACTTTTTTAGGAGGAATGCATTGGAAATTTATTTTAAGTTGTGCCGATTTGTTCATAGAGTTGTTATTGTATTTCCTTTTTTTTTTTTTTTTTTAAAGATTTATTTATTTATTTATTTGACTGACAGAGATCACAAGCAGGCAGAGAGAGAGAGGGACGCAGGCTCCCCGCCAAGCAGAGAGCTTGATGCGGGGCTCGATCCCAGGACCCTGGGATCACGACCTGAACTGAAGGCAGAGGCTTTAACCCACTGAACCACCCAGGCGCCCCCGTATTTCTTAAATGTATGAATTTAAGTGCTTAAAACTAATACGGCAGAATTTAAAATTTTAGATTCTCTAATTTATTTTTAAAATGTGAGTTTTATAGGGCAAGGTTTGCATAGTTGAGCTATCAGAGAAGTATAGTATATTACTACAGAACAGTTAGAAGCCAGATCTATAAATTTCAGAAAAGAACGTTCAGATCTCACTCAGATGCAGGGTGTGTTGGGTGTGTACCTTTAAATATTTGGCACATCTTGCCGATTGACTCCTTTTGGAATTGTTCTTCACACGGGCCTGTGCATCTGGTCTTTATGTGTTTTCCACTCATTTCTGAACCCAGGACTATCAGATTCCATTCTAATAATTCAACAGATTTATTGGTTTTGGTGAATGATAAACACATTAGATTTATTTTTGCTCTCAGGCTTTTACTTTTTCTCCTTGTTTATTAAGTAATACACAGTTACTGGAAAAATTTGGAAATTTGTAGGAATATAGATAAGTAGAAGGAAATATACGCAAAGTTCTGTGTACTTCACTCTGGCACATTCTCTCTCAGTTTTTGGTTTTCTGTGCCATTTTTGACACTCAGGATGGTATGCTTGGGTTAGAATGTATTTTATATTATTTGTATTTTCTCTTTTTTTGGCTTAGCATTATATCATAAGTATTTCCCTATGTCATCAAAACCTGTAGTGGTCTGCTGTCATTTTAAACGTGAGCCAGTGTAGAGCATTCAGAACCATAACTGTCTTTTGAGGGTGAATTACTTCTAGAAACTCATTTTAAAGTGTGCTGATTTGAGACTCTTTCATAATATGATCATTTACTAGTTAAGTTTGGGGTTTTTTTAATTAGACATTGTTATTTTTTAAAATTTTCCTTTCCGTTTTTTTAAAACACTAACATCTGTTCATAAATGTTTGGTTGTATGTTAAGTTACTTTTTTATGATTGATTCCTAGGAGTGTAAATACTGGGTTATAGGGTTTGGAAAATTTTAAGGCCCTTGATAACAACTTTTCAGGAAACTTTTTGTTGATATGTACAGGTTTACACTAGTGTTACATAAATGTGTGTTTTCTAATATATCTTTGTGAGCATTGAGTATTCTAGTTAAAAATAACTCTCTAATTCACTTGGCAAAAAGAAGAATCTCCTATTTTGGGAAATAGAAAAGTAATAGTATACTCAGTGGAGGAAAGAGTTCCCAATGCTTCCGAAATGTGTAATAAAGTACGTGGTGCCTGGCTGGCACATTTGGAAGAGCATGCGACTCTTGATCTCAGGGTGGTGAGTTCGAGCCCCATGTCAGGTGTAGAGAATACTTAGATAAAACTTAAAAAAGGAATAAAAGAATGCATAAAGTAATCAATAAACCTAACACCTTGGTAGATATTCTCCTTCCAGGATTATTTCTCTCTAGCAATCATTTTT